GTTTGTTGAAAATTGTAACTAAAAATGAATATATAAATGGAGGTGAAAAAAATGCTGTCACTGAAGAGCAGAAAGGTAAACATGTTTTATAAGTTCGCATTTCAGGCAAAAGTCAATGAGCAAAAGAAGTATTGACCAAAGATGGGATAGCATTTACAAAGTTTTGTAGATGTTTAAACAGGTATCCAGTCATAGCAAATGAAAAATCACAGACCTTGAGACATCTAGTTTAGCCCTTTTTCCAAGGAAGGACCACCTGTCCCTACAACATTCTTGGCCAGTATTTGTCAACCTCTTCTAAAAGTACTCTGTTGATGGAAACCAAGCTTTTTCACGGGCTGTTTCACTATTCTCACTAAAAGAAAGATTTCACCCATTATTTCTCCTCCTATCACCAAAGGAATTTATTCCCTTCCTCTGTGCAACTACCTTAAAATTAATTGAATGCTATTTTCACCTCTCAACATCAGTCTTCTGTACACTAAGAAAACCGAGTTCCTTCAGTCTTTTTTCACAGATCACAATTTCTAGACACAGAGTGTCAATAAGCATGAAGTCACCACTGAAGGGACAGAGGAATCTTGGATCTTTTTCAGAAGACCTCTAAGGGCACTGTGTCTAGGTGCTGGTTTTTGTCTATTTGACAGCTTCATAAACTTTGTGAGTATCTTTTTCTTTTCTTTTTTTTTTTTTTTTGGTAACTCTCTTGTCTTTTTAAAAGTATGTCAGATTCCCTACAAGATGTCCTGAGTAATATTGTTCAGTTCAAATGGTATTTAGAGAGTGAAAAAAACAGCATCAACATCAGGTTTATAACAAGGTGAGAACAGGGAGACTTCCTAATTAGTGTAGGAGGTCTCTTTGAGGAGAATTGTAAGAGTGTATGTCTGACTACTTTGCTAGGCGAAGAAGGGTCAATTGGCAGTATAGTGCACCAAAGTATTGATGCTATGAGATACGGAATAGAAGAAGGAAATTTTACCTTATTATGTAATGGGAATTTTGTTGGGAGCCCTCATAATAATGTGTATAATTCCATTCTGCAAAAAGCTTCCTGATGACTGCTTTGTGATGATACAATCCATAGTGAATAAGGTATGAAGCTGAAGAGCAAGGTTGTTGCATGGTCTAATTGTGAATAAGGTTGTAAAAATGGATTCTAGTCTTCAGAAAAAAGTTACAGACAAGATGGAAGTTTTAGGTTACCAACAAATTTAAAATATGCGTTCACTTTCCAGCTTTACTATAGACTGCTTCTCTGATTTTAAGATGAATACACTATTTCTGTGCCTTAGTTTTCCACTTGTAATGACTCACCATGAGTCAGGAGTGGATGACTCAGGTTGTGGACAGTACAGCTCCTATGGATTGAAATCAGAGCCCGCTTGATAGGTACCTGCATGATGTTTCCCAGAATATACAGGAGCCCTGAAGACTAGCAGTACATGTGCAGTGCAGTTCATGCAAGTCAACAATAATTTCCTTTTTGCCTGAGACTGGCTCCACCATCCATATTCTTATAACCTTTAACATCTGAAAAATGAAAATTATAATACTTCTTTTTCTGATTCATTCTTCAGGCAATTAAATGAGCTACAGTTACAGTTATTTGTATTTTGCATGGGACATAGTACAGCAGCTCTTCTGGTACAACTGTAGTACAGTGTATAGCTGTAGTTGTAAAAACATATAATTGATTTAGTTTGCAATAAGCTTTGTGGCATTCTAATGTACAAACTGGGTTCTTTTAAATTATTGTCTATCCCCATTACCTCTTGCCTTTGAGTTTTGACATTCCCTCTGCCAACTCTGCAATTCCATAAGAACTTCAAATGTCGGTATTTAACTTAGGTATTTTCATCTAACTAAAACATGATCATCTAGATACCACTATACTTCCTTCCTAAAAGTTCAAAAATGTAGTTGAGAGATGAATATTCTGCAAACACCCAATTGCTTCTGTTTGCCTAATAACTTACGCCTCTCAGTATCTATCTACCATGTGGTTCACAAATTTACAAGAGCCAAAAAAAGCAGATGGTCTGAACTCCCTTCTTCATACTCTCTCCCCATTAACACATATTGGTGAGAATCTCTTCCTGAATATGGACCCTCCCTCTGAAGCACTGCCATGTTAAAGAAAGGTTGTATAGTACCTGCTTGTGTCAGACTTACTGAGTGCCTCTAGTTTTAGTCCATTACTCCAAAATCTTTTATCATATGTTATCATTTGCATTAAATACAAGATAAAATGGAAAGCCACCCAAATATAAAAATAAAACATTAATTTTTGGAAACTGGCTGTAAAATTAAATTTTGCAGCATGAGTCTTCCCAACTAGCTATTTAATTAGGCTAATTCATAACACATCTGTCCCTGCTTGTGGACTTTCATATGAATGGTACTAAACAGATAAGTAATTGGCCAAACATTTATTAAATTTACCTCTTTCAGATCCAAAGCCACAGCAATCATCTCCACTGTTAGCAGGAAAGTGTGTGTTTTCTTTCTACACCACTGGGTGATAATCGATGGCAGACCCACATGTACAACCACTTCTGCTGAGTTACAAAATGCTACTCCATCATTATGGTCTTGGTGTCCAGGCTTCCCAGCAGGTCTGTAAGAAAGTGCATCATGGTTAGTTATAGATGGCCATAAAACCTAATTTCTGGATAATTCAGCCTTTAATATTAACTTTGTAGCTGAACCATTTCCCAATATGAGATGGAACAAAAAATACAGGTAGCATTGACCTCTAATTGCATTAAGATTGGATTTAAGTTATTTCTTACAATGATGCATTCCTGAGCTTCCACTAGCTGTGTGACAGACCTCTAATCTCTATAACACAAATAAAAGAAAGCTTCTTAGTTTGCATTGTAGAAAAAACCTACATACGGCAGCACTGCCATCTTCTGCTTGCTTTCTTTCATGCATGCAAGTACTAGCTTTATATTGCAAAGCAATAACAGGGGGCGTGCATTTTTCTACTAGTAGGTATCAGCTGAGGCAATAACATTTTCTAATACTCAGGGATAACATAAGTTTGGAGTTCCACAGATGTAGGGGGTTTTCACGTGTGAACGTTTTCTGGGCATAGAAAAGGACTTAGACATTTGTCCAGGATTTCTAATGTATCATATCCCAGCCAGAGCAATAGCTCAAAAATCCCAGGCAAATGTGTACATTTGCGTGCTTGTGCTGTCCACAAGGAATATATTACACCTGTTGAATATATGCTCTGCTGAGTTGATCCATACACAAATGTACACATTTGAACAGATCCAACTGATCTAACAGATCCTTGCAGTCTGCACAAGTACAGCAAGTACAAAGCATGAATGATCCATGTGTATAGGAGTAATGCAATGCAGTTGGGGTATATTTGATCACACGCAAGTCCATATCCGCTAGGTCCAACAGGTCCCAGATGTATCACATATGCTCTTGAACTGAAGCTTCCTGGATGTGCTGTACATCAGCACATAAGCTAGATAGAAAGCTGGGAGCCTTACTTCAGATATTTTCTTTAAAAAGGTGAAGGTACAGTAATTCTATTTTTCTGAAGTGCACATTGAGCCTGTATGGCTCCAGAGACCCCACACACGTCAAGGAAGCAGCTCTGTGTAAGTTTGCCATACGGTACTAGACGATGCATTGTTGGATGGAGCTTTCAGCATAAACATCATTTATGGGTTTGATTGTATCAGAAAAACTGAAAAGGGATAGAATTTCACTGTAGGACTTTGTACTGTTGGGACATGTCCTTGGGGTTTTTCACCCTGTGGAGCCACAGAGTGACACTGGCAATTACAAGCCTCCCTCTTCCATGCAGTAATGTATGAAATGACTTCTGGCAAGTGAACAAGTCTTAGTTGTTTTTTCTTCTTAGAATATTGTAGTTAGATATTCCAGTCTCTGCTTTACTCAAGACTTTGATAGACTGAGTTGCACTGATAATTGATCTTCCACCTTTCCCTGATAGTAAGTGTGATAATACTGATGCATGCATAGGGCTGTCTATCTTTATGAAAGCAAAGACAGCATGGTTTACGAGACCATAAACGAGGTGAGCAGGCGTATTCACAGAATACTGAGTTAGAATCACAGTAACATCACAGTATCGGTTTATTGTTCATCATTAGCTGGGAAAGGACAGTTTATGCTTCTGAGAATATTCATATGCATTACAATCCCTGGTGCAGGGTCCCTTGCAGTCAGTCATGTGTGCTCACTGAACCCTCTGCTGTGCTGATGTATTATGGACCCTATAGACCAAACCTGGTCCTGCTTACTGATTCAGTTCTGGTACTCACATCACCAGGAACTTGACCCAGCAGTGCTGCAGACTCAGCTTGTTGCCACTACTGTTGCCAGGTCAACCCAGCCATGTCTGTCCCACAGATTGCTACTTTCTGGGCTCAGAAATGCCAAAGGGCAAGATGCTTTTGCTTCTGGCTTGGGATAAAGCTTTTAAGAGTCTAGGACAGAGGTTTCTACTAGATTGTTCTTGAACCTGGAAAGCTTCCCAAACCAGAATCTACTGTGAATCATACAGGATGATCCAGTTGCTTTTGGTTACTTGAATTCCTTTCTTGGACACAGTCACAGTCAATACACAGAGGACAGACAATTCCATCCAAAGCAACAAAATACAGAATGATGCGTAAGGCACATAATAGTGAATGTAAATGACAATTGCCTAAGATAGATTTTTCCCTTCCCACAAAAGCACAAAGTTTCATTATTCTCATTCTTCTCTCTCTTGGACCCATATTTATTGGTAATAACAAATAAAGAACTAATGAAGACATTAGCAGGTACTGAAGAACAGTCTCTGTTGCTTACTAACCGAAACCTCTGAGGGGTAAAAAGGTAAAAGAAGTTACTATAAATTCATTTTGCCAGTGAGATCTTAGTTCACACTCAGTTAACTGGCCTGTTTTGCAGGATTTAACCTGGTGGCATAAGAACCTTGAAATAAATCTCTTAGCTACGATTAGAGATGAAAGAGAGATTAGCACGGGCAGGAGAGTTGAAGTCTTTTTCTCCATCTCCATTGGTGAGTCAGTGTAAAGACAGAAGAACTACAGAGACATCAGAAATCAGTACTTTAGCCTTCCTCAGGATGCCTGATCCAGGTATTTTCTCCCCTGCACTCAGCAAGTTACCAGTTTCAAGATTGTGTTCAGTGCTCTGAAGCAGGTTAGTGGTTTCTTTTACAATAAGTCACAGATAGGAATGTGTGTTTAGCTAAAACAGCAGATTTTAGTGAAATTAGTAAGATAAGATGTGGTTTGTTTGTGACAAAATTGCAAGCCAAATTTGCATCTAGTAAGTAAATGTTATAAACAAATAAATAGCTGTGCTATGTCTTGTTCTGTGTAGTTAGGGGATTTTGATAGCAAAGGAACAGGTAGGTGGCATCTTGGAAGCAAAAAGCTACCATATGCTGATGGAAGCTGTGTTTGAAGTGAGTTAGACAGGGAAAGCTTGAGAACAGTATCGATAATATGGGAGAGATTTCCACAGTTATTGGACTTCTTCTGTTGAAAGAAGTATTTCTCCCTCTATAGCATAAAATCCAGCTTGCTCTCCCATAGCTGGGGAAAAGATGTCTGTGTGTATATGCTTCATAACTCTGGACTGGCTCACGTGCAATGGTGAGGTCTGTTTCTAAGAACTTTGATAGAGGTGTTTGTTCCACTGCACTGCTAGGAGCATTTGTGGTTTACAGTAGCCCACTGCCAAATATAACTTGGAGAAGAACAGATACATTGCAGAGCAAGACAATTACACTTTTAGTTTGTAACTACACTTCAGTTCTTTCAGCTGGAAGAACTTTCTTCATGGTACTCAAAAAAATGCTACTACACAGCAATATGCGTGTTGCAATACATCTTATGCTAATAAATATATTCAATACTTCATTGACCAGTTAGGGAAAGGATAATGTTACCATACATCTACAAAATTCATTATGATGGGAAGAGAGTCTTATTATCTAAAATAAATTCAGTAAACTGTTAGCACAAGAAAAAATAATCTTGAGAAATATCCATGTGGAAGCTAGGAACACAGGAACAGAATGGGTAAGGCATTCTTCTGTCCCAGACTCAATGCATTCAAAGTTTCACAGGAAGCACAGTTGTCCCAAAGATCCTTTGTGCAATCCCAGGTATATCAGTCGCAGCCAGGGTCAGTCAGCGAGTGGTCACTGCACTACAAAAACCAGTCATTCCGCCCATTTCCTCTGGCAGTATGGCTCATATGAAATAGCAGATCTTATATGACTGGAGGATGTGGCGTGGGTACCTCTGTTAGATGAATGTGAATATTCCATGAAATCTGGTCTTAGGACAATACTAAAATTGCACCAAGGAAGCTGGAAATAACATGAGAGTTACTGGAGGCAAGGACTTACTAGGAGAGTTGCTTTTGCAGATAATTTTTCTTTTTTTTTAACTCTAGGCATCTGAAAATGGGGGAGGGAGCTATATCAGAATAGCTACATGAGATTGAATATATCCCAGCTTATGGTATTCAGTTTCATTTTCTTTATGGCTAGAATATCACAGAAAGTCTCAAATTTACATCTTCCAAAATCATCAGTGCCTCTTGAGTAGATGAATTTTAAGTAAAGGTAGAAGTGTTTACAGCTTTTGTTCAAATGTTACAAAATATGTTTGGCAAGTAGGGTGTTCTCAGTGACACTGTAACTATATGCGTGCCTAACAATTTAGAGGCATTTTGCAAATACATACATGCATTTCACAGAAATGAACAGTGAGTGATGCGTTCCTATACACTGGCCATTGAACGTGAACTGCATATTAGCAGCTAGGAAATTTCACAACAGATTCTCCCTATTGTGAGCTCTGAGACCTAAGTATTGGGGGCAAATAAACCTATTTGTAGCAGCCATCTACAGCTATTTAAGTTCAAGTCATGAACTGCTTAACTGGTGAAGCAAAGATACTGTCTTCAGGCTTAGCAGACAGGCTGTCAGCTGAATTCATACGGAGGCTTAATTCTGTGCTTGCAGAGCATGATCCTTACAAATGAGGTCTGAAGGATACTGTAGAAGAATAGTGTGAAGAAAGTGTTGTCACTTTATAAATGACTGTTCTCTGGACTTGTTTGTACAGAGATGTCTATCAATAATCAGTATTTCATCATGATAATCGATATGATTATCACAATATGATCACAATCAATATTCAACCATAACTGATAATCAGCCTTAGCAATCATTAAAATTAGAACCCTTGTTTTTAAACTCAGAGAGCTGCTGGCTTCAACACCTTTGGAAGTAAGACTGGTAAGGAAAAATACTGTGCATTTTGCACACTATTCTGTGTATTGTACAAAAGATGTACAGAGATGAATAGTTTTGAGGGGAATTAGTTTCCTCTGTAAATGCAGGAAAAAATAAATGCAACGTGAATGAATTAGATCTGACAGGCATTAAAATGTTTTAATATTCGAATGCATGAAGATATCTAACCATTTCCTAATATGTATGGTACAATGTATTCCTCACCTTTACAAATAGAATTGATTCCTTCCAACGTATACAGATGAAGACACAGGGATACCATTACGTTTTTAAACTGTACTCTACAACTATCTGCTTACCCAGTGTTAAGCTTCATTGCATCTGTGGATCCTCTAGTGGGTAGGTGTAGCCCTACTTCTGTACAGCTTATCTGCAGGTGGTTTTCATGCTGATTTAGCTGATAACAGTTTTATTAAGGTGAAGTTAAGTAGTAGAGTCCACTAGCTTAAAAAATATTATATAAGAATAATGCTGCCTATACTTGTCTATTTCCCCAAATTTACAGGATTATGTTTTACTGTTTATACATGCCATTGTATTAGTGGAATTAGATGACTGTATAGTCGTATAAATACATAGTTGTATAGTATAAAATCACTCTAATGAAAATTACTGAATTAGTACAAGACCATGCTAAGACCAGGTTTTCTGGGGAGGAAAGAACAAACTCCTCCGTATATCTTGCACATGTTGAGGAAGGGCAATCACAAAGTGTCAGAAGCACTGAAGAAGGGTAAAAGTTCATGAGGTACTTAGAGCATAGTTCTACATCCACATCACGTACACTGAAAATGCATTGTCTACAGCTCTAACAGGTTTTAGATCTTGGATGTTATTAGCTGCTTTCTGCCTGTGATTGTGATATAACTGGAGAGGTGCAAAGGAGAAATTAGTAGTGTTGCAGAGGAGCAAGGTTAAAAGTGCTGGGAAAGATGGTATCTTTTCTTAGATCCACTAATAGCTGGGGAAAAGATGACAGACATTGAAACACAGAAGTCTTCCTTCAGCTGTGACACTCTCAAATCTGATATTTCAAACTCAGGGGAGGAGGGGAGTGTCTCTGAATGCCCATTGTGGTGATCTTTGGAGAGAAAAATATGAGTCTGTATATCACATGGGAAAGTTATTAAAGGACTGTTAGTAACATAAGAGTAGGTGTATCAAAAAAAAGCTAATAAAATATACAAGGTATAAATTAATAAACACATGAGTAGTTTCCTGTCATTTTTCAAATGGTTCCCCTTCAAAAAATATTATGTATGGTGTTCCTTGGGCTGCAGAGTCTTCTTTAGACGGGAGAATGGAAGCAGTTCCATTGGGTGGTGAAGAAGTCAAGGTTATTGCAGAAAGCGCAACCAGGAACAAAATTTAGGATTCTGACTGGAATATGGGGACTCAGAAAGAAAACCACAGTCTACAGGTGGTAGGAGGGTTGGAATATGGTGTGATTGTCACTGTTCTCAGGACAAAGGGAAAGAACAAGCAACTTTACCTACAGAAGCAGAGATTAAGATAGTAACGGTGATTCCCTAAGGATTAAATGGGCTATTCCAATACCTAGTTTTTAATAAGAACTTTCAGAAAGAAAGGACGGGCAATCAGGTAGAGAAAGAAATAGAGCATCTTAAACTGCTGATTTTTTTTCTTAAGGTGTGAAGATGTTCTGCTTTTTTTTGTGGGGTGATACGTTACTTCACATAAAAATGGAAGTGCTTTTATGCCAGATCAAGTGGAAAAAAGTGGTGGAGGATGGTTTGTTCACCAGTAATATATTCAGGTCATAGCACTTAAAAGTTAATAAAATTTTGATAATATTGATAGTTTAACTATTTGTTGAACATTTTGTGTCTGTGGATAACCACAGTCAGTTCCCCCTGCAGTTTTTGCCAGAGTGGTCATATCTTAGTAGTGTAAGTGTTGGAATAAAATGCTTTTTGCTAGTAAAATCATATTTTACAGCACGTAATCGATTAAATGTCTAAAAATACCCATAGGATACTGTGTTTCTGGTACTATTTTCACTTTTTTTTTTCCATATGGAAAAAAGGCTTATGTGATTATGCTGTATATTTCTGGGTTTTGTATATTTTTGTTGCCCTGCTTGTTCAACTTTTGAATGCAAATCTGACCACGACCACAGTAATCCAAGAATTATAAATTCCTAGAATCAAGAAAATACAGGCAACAAGTAGAAGGGAGAGGCACCATGAGTCTTCTGGAGGGAAAGACAGCAGATCAGCTCACCTTTAGACATCAGAAAATCTGCACAGAAAATTGCTTTTGACAAAAATCCATAGGAAGCCATCGTTCATTGGTTCTACTGTTCACTTGTTTTTAATTGCTCTAGTTGGTCCTTAGAATTTTATATTTTTTTTTTAAAGTGAGTCACAGCGTATGAAATTTAAGCAATAAATTTCACTGGGGCACTCCCTTGGCAGGACTCGGAGTGCGTGAGGCTGTACAGGAAGTTTTCTGTAGTCTCTATAAATATCTAGTCAAACAGACAGTAATCTCTCTCTCTCTTCTTCAGATTTCTACTGCATGCCTTGGATACATGCTCCTAATCAGCTTACAAGCTTTTCTTGACCTACGCTTCTTTTCCTAACGCTGATCTGACTATGGCTGTCCTCAGAGTAAAATTCACCAAAACTAAGAGGGACAAATTGGCTCAGATCTTATGGATCCTCAACTGGGTTTCTGTAGTGAGCGGGATCATTCTCTTCAGTCTTGGCCTCTTTCTGAAAATAGAGATCAAGAAGCGCAATGAAGTGATGGCAAAAGGGGACATTAACTCTGTCCCCAACATGCTGATCTCTGTAGGGGTCATAGCATGTATCATCAACTTTATGGGTGGCAAAATCTGCTATGACTGCTCAGATGCCAACAAGTTCTCTCGATGGAAACTAGTTATGCTCCCATACATCGTATGTACCTTCTGTTTTACCTTTTGCATCCTGGTGGGTGCTCTCATGTGCTATACCATGAGGAACGAGCTGGAAGAGTCTCTCTATCTGGGACTGAGGGATGCTATTAAGTTCTATAAGGACACGGACATACCTGGACGATGTTTCTTAAAGAAAACAGTGGATATGTTACAAATTGGATTCAAATGCTGTGGAAACAATGGCTTTAGAGACTGGTTTGAAATTCAGTGGGTATCTGCTCGTTATCTGAATATGGCTTCCAAGGAAGTTCTGGAGTAAGTATTTACTAGTCATAACAAAAAAATCTAGGAGAAAAACTCATTCAAGAAGGCAAAGTAGATACTAGCTTTTACTGGACTTTTGTCTCTTAATCTCAAAACTGTAGAGTGACCACATTACTCACAAAATATGCTAACTACATGCACAATCAAAAGTTGCCTTTTGCTAACTTTTTAGGGACACTAAGCAAAGCAAAGCTGTATCTTTTTTAATACAGTGAATTAGCTACCTCAAAATTTTAATTATAGCAAGCTGATAATGGAAAGAAAAAAAGGAGTGTACTATCAATACATTGCACAGTCAATCCTAAACACTGAAAGACCTTTCTCCTTCAGGACATTACAACTTTGCAAACCCAGGTTCAAATCTGTATGCTCACATGTGAGAAACTTCCAACACCATGTACACTGCATAAAAAAAGGAGGAGAAAAACCCTTGAATTTTTTTGTGGTGGTGCTTCACATGATGTAGTAACTGTGAAATTATATGCTCAAAAAGAGGAGTCTGGCAATTCTTACAGACAATAGCGTAACAATAAAAATATTTAAGAAGTAGACAATCCAATATGTAGCAATTCTTCTAAAGCTGAGAAGAAGTCTTCAATCATGAGAGTGTAGTAGCTCTATGTTCCTGGGAAAGACAAACAAAAAGCTTGACTGGCATTTGTCAAGTGTTCTGTTTTGTTGCACTCAAAATCAGTGACAATAAAGTCAGAGGAGGAAGGAAGGCCAAAGATGTCATTTTCACAGAATTTGCAACTTGAAACTGCCATTGTAGCAAAGCATATATGCAGAGCTGCAAATATACCAGAGGACAGGACCTAGGAGAATACAGACATGAGGGCATCAACATGTTTAAGTGTGCTGGTTTGGGGTGGGATAGAGTTAATTTTCTTCATAGTAGCTGGTGTGGGGCTATGTTTTGGATCTGTGCTGGAAACAGTGTTGATGATGCTGAGATGTTTTTGTTACTGCTGAGCAGCGCTTACACAGAGTCAAGGTCTTTTCTGCTTCTCACACCACTCCACCAGTGAGTAGGCTGGGGAGGCACAAGAAGCTGGGAGGGGACACAGGTGGAACAGCTGATCCCAACTGACCGAAGGGATATTCCAGACCATATGACATCATGCTCAGCATGTAAAGCTGGGGGAAGAAGAAGGAAGGGGAGGATGTTAGGAGTTACAGCGTTCGTCTTCCCAAGTCACTGTTAGGCATGATGGAGCCCTGCTTTCCTGGAGATGGCTGAACACCTCCCTGCTGATGGGAAGCGGTGAAAGAATTCCTTGTTTTGCTTTGCTTGCGCGCACAGCTTTTCCTTTACCTATTAAACTGTCTTTATCTCAGCCCATGAGTTCTCTCCCCCATCCCGACGGAGGGGGAACGAGCGAGTGGCTCTGTGGGGCTTAGTTGCTGGCTGGGGTTAAACCACAGCAGTAAGGCACTTGGCTGTGGAAGTAAAGCAAGCTTTAGAACAAGTGTTCTCAAGAGAGAAGCTGGAAAGCAACAGTGACACAAAGCAGACTGACCCAAGAGGTGTTTTAAATCCTGGTTCTACACTGAAGAGTCACACAACAACAAAGATGGTCCACAGGAACTTAAAGAGTATTACCTTATTGTGAGGACAAAAGTAAAATATACTGCCTTTTCTTTCTGTGAGACATGCAGAAACAGTAATGTTTTATTTACCCAGGGTCTTTGCTAAACTGTTTTCTCTGCAGGGTTGCCTGTGCTCTGCCATTATTTTGAAAATGCACCGTCAGTTAATTTTTGCCCCAGATAGGCAGAAGATGCCCGTGAAATGTGTGTGAGGGAAGTAATTACACTGCAGAATTTGTTTTACTGTATAGAAATTGGATAATTCCATCTTGATTGCTAGAATCCAAGTTGGTGCTGTATAACCAAATCATACTAGGATTTCCAAAAATCTGGTAGTGAAACATTTGATATGAAATCATTGGAAGCAAAATCCAGCTGGTAATGTTCAGAAAGGATGGAGAAGGAACCAAATATTTCTCTTGGTTTCATCTTGTACTGTATGTCGATTAGTATATGGTAGATTAAGAAGCAAAGCAGGTGAGAACTGACATATTGTCAACTCACATGTAAACTTTGCAAAACTGAACTTCTCACCTTCCTTCATAATCCTCTTCCCTCCGCTCTCTTCTATATCTCCATTGCCAACACCACAATGTGACAAGAACTGGAGAGAATCAATGGGAACTGTAGGAGGATGAAGCAGGTTACAGCGGTACGATCCTATCATTGCTTTGGTTGGGTAGCAATCACCTCTTTATAGTCTCAAAAGCAAGTTTTGCTTTACAATACCATAACAACTGTGAATTGCAACAACAAATAGCAGTGAATGTCTCACTCCCTCAGCTCTGTTACACAGGTCTTCCCTTCTAACAGTACCAAGATAACGTAATTCTTTAATTTGCCATTAGTAGAGGAAACACAATGGCAGGGAGACATAACCCAAGTCTGGAAACTGCTATTGTTGGCAGTAGAAAGAAGATACCTCTTTATAACATGTGGCAGGAAGAAAAAAAAATTAAATTGATGCTTGGGATCAAAAGAAAAGCATAAGACCTAGTTTAAGAGATTGTATTTTAACCACTTTAGATGCTGTAATATATTTGGGTCATGTCCCTGAAACATACAGGGCATTTTGCTGGCCCCAGTAAATGCTTCCCTTTCACAATGTGCCAGCCTGCCTCTCCTCCCTCTCTGAGGTTTCTTTTCTCCTTCCACGTTCGAGCCTTCCGTTTGGTACCTCTCTGCTCGCTCCCTTGTTTCTCTCCCAGTGAGTTGTTTTGCCTATGCCCATTACACTGCTTGCACACTTAAGTCTGGTTTCAGTGGACTATTTGGGTTCTTTTGCATTGGTTTCATTCTGTTGCCATTACCAGGAATATGATGGCCACAAAGTGAAGAGCTAGACTTTAAAACAGAGAGGAATTCATGCCTAACCCACTCCTAGGTGGGAAATGGCAGATGAACTTCCTGACTTACTTGGAAAGATCTTTGAGAAAGATATTTTTGACAGAATGTTAAACAAAACAAAACACACCACCACCCAAAGAAAAAAAAAAAAAAAAAGAAGGAAAAAAAAAAAAGGAAGGAAGTTGTATTTAGCAGGCCCACAGCCTTAAAATGAAGGCAATGATTCTGCCATCCCAGTACGGCCACAAATACTGAGCTTCCTAGCAGCTTATATTCATTTTGAAGGATACATTTAGTCCCCAAAAGCTGGAAAAACACTGAACCACAGAGTTTCTGCTTCTTCTGTTCATCTGATAAGCTTCTTGTGATAACTTCCTTCCCTTTAATTTAGATCATCTGTAGTGGAACAGGAAAATATGATTTGTAAAAATTAATAAATGAGGATAAGTTTTGGAAAATATTAAAAATTCTACAATTAGCAAACAGTGAAAGCTGGATATCTAAGTGGAAGTTGTCTTTCATGTATTCTGGCTCCCTAACAAAGGCTAAAGGGCATGGGCTTCATTAAAACAGGCCATGGTTCTCATCCGTGGGGCTGTCTCAGGAAATAAGCCTTTTGCAATGAGCATGAGAATAGATACATGCTTAGAGACTACTTCCCCAAAGTGTGAGAGCATCTCTCAACATCTTATATACTCTCCAGTTTCTGGAAAATCTATTTCTCTGAAGAGCCTGCTTGGAGACAGAAGTCCTCACAAGGACGCACTAGCTAAAGAGCAGGTAATACAAGGAAAATGGATGTCAGGGATTCATTTAACTGTTCCAGAAACTCTTGATTAATCTAAGACTGTGTTCTCATTCCATCCCATGACTTTTTTTCTCCCTCCTATTTCTTTTCCCGCTTCTTTTTCTCCTGATCTTATAGGGGAGGGAGAGGAATAATTTTTAGCAATAAATACAAAGAGTTTCAAAAGTTACAAAAAGTATGGTTCCAAGAAGTAGAAACTCCCTTGTGAATTAGTCTCACAACATGTGCCAAACCAGCCATTGCACATGGGTACAATGATGAAACGCCAGCAGACCATTTCCAGTGGTTCCTGTGGCACGCAAAGTTGCTCTTGTATAGGTTCTCTGTTAAGGAATGCTTGTGGTGAAAAACAGTCCAGAAGTAGTGAAACACAGGATTTCTAGGGCATAACTTCCATTAGAGTTCCACCAAGATAAACAAGTGCAGAAATTGTCTTTAGTATTTTCAGCACAAAGATACCTGAAAAGGCAACATCTCTGTGAACACTGAATCCACGTCTTACACACACAGCACCAAGAACCACGTGAGATAGTGTGCTGATACCACACTTAAGAAATACAGCAAATGAAAAATTTAGTTTTCCTGCAGTAAGCAAGTTTTCCAGTTGGAAATACATTCCCATTTTCCTTTTGTTACATTGGAGAGGCCTACATTGCAGCAGACTTGCCTTATAACCTTTTATAAAAACCACAGACAGTATCTGCTGCCGATACCAGATTTCTAACGCCCAAACTTCCTGCCCTGTTGCAGCCGCCTAAAGAGCAACGTTGATGGGAGGTTCCTGGTGGACGGAGTACCCTTCAGCTGCTGCAACCCAAGCTCCCCGCGGCCCTGTATCCAGTACCAGCTGACAAACAACAGTGCTCACTACAACTACGATTTTCTGACAGAGGAACTCAATATCTGGGTGAAGGGGTGCAGAGAGGCCCTGCTGGATTACTACACAGCTATTATGAGATCTATTGGTATCGCAGCATTGCTTATTTGGTTGTTTGAGGTAAGTCTCATTAAAATGGTCTGTGTCAGATTAATCAGAGTCTTCCTGCTCTCTGGGATGGGAAACAACTATGGTGTAACATACAAGAAGTGCCTCAGTAACCAACATAAAGTCCACAAGCACTTCAAGAATGTTACAGGACCTCCTTCAGTACAGGCAACTTTCTCAAAGTCCCCAGAGCAGAAGCAAATCTCATTGAAGATGAAAACTATTAGAAATGATGTATATAATTCCATATATTTACAGAGCTTTTTCAATAGACTATGGCACGTTCCCTTCCCTGAAGCATTTATGGGATCAGATAGAGGATGACACATGCAGTTGACACAACTGCAAGAAAATTAGGTGAGAAGGTCTGAGGATTGTTTTAAGTCAGTTTTAACAAAGAATATAGAAAATGTGAGCCGGCCTTTGGCTGAATACATTAATTTCATTTATAGTAAAAGTTGAGCACAAGTATTAATATCTCAAAGCCTCCTTTTTACATTAGATAGCTTCACCATATAGACAGTACTTGCAAACATGGCATAGCTTTTTAGATGTAGATTAGACTGCTTATTATGCAGTCAAAATAAGCATATCAGAGGCAAGCATATACACCTGAAAAGATGCAGTCTTTCTGCTGGCATCTGTAAAGAAAGTTGTCTGGATGTTGTCATCCACAGGTAAAGGACCCCCCCAGTAGCATAGGCTAAATTATGGTTTTCTTCCCTTTTTATTAAGTTCTAGTTTTCTGATTGTTGCTCTACTGCATAAATATTAGCACTATAATTAAAATAGTTCACAACAGTCCTCAAACAGTGCTAGATGGGGTGGTGGTGCCAGAAACAACAGGCCTTTGGCAGCACATGAAAAAACTGTGAGCTGGCTCTGTGCTGCCTTAAAATATTGACAAGCTGGGCATGCTGATCTCGATCCAACAGAACTATGAAAGTGGGGCTTTCTCCTAAACTTATACTTGAGCCTCTACTATCAGCCATCCTTCTTAATTTTAATGCATTGGCATGTAGGACACATACAGCTTACATATGAATGATAGAACTCCTTCGAGGAAATACCAATTTAATCAAGGTCAGTGGAAAAAAAATCCACAGAAATTAACAGACGACAATTTAAATTTTTTTTTCCTAGTGACTGATGGTTCCATTAATTGATCATCCATTCTACATCAGTTAGTTGTCGTCTCTGAGGCTGTAGTGTTCCCAAGTAATTCTAGGTATTTATGTGCTAATAACATGCAAGTGGGAATGCTACCTGAAGAATGGAGACAGAATCAATCAATCTCTCCCTGGTATTTTTCCTTCTAAAAAATGTAATTAATTGGGAGAGTGGTTAGATATGTTGCTGGGATAAAGAATTTGTCTGCTTTACTCAATATTAACTATTAGGCCTGTAAATACACAAGTCAGAAAGCTGACTTAGTGGTAGGATTGAGGTTGTAATTTACACCCTCTGTTTAACCATTAACTGTTTCTTACAGCTCTCTGTACTTATTGGTGTCCGGTACCTACAAACAGCAATGAAGAATGTCCTTCTGCTAGGAGATTTGGAGGGTGAGTCAGATGGTTGGTTACTAGAAAACAGCTTTGTGGAAACTGCCAAATACAACATCAGTATCATTAAGAACCTCGGCAAAGCCAACCAGATCTCCACTGTCTCAGGCATGAACGACCCCAACATTGACGTTCAAAACACAAACTGTGGCAAAACCAATGTTACAACAAAATCTATCCCAGCAGCTAGCTAGGCAAGGCTTTGAAGAAATGACATCACAAGTGTAGCTTTGACATATTACAGTCTTACGAGTACCAGCTTTTTCACTGGTGGGGAAAAAAAAAGGTAGGAAAACTAATAAGACAATTGAACTAACCACAGACTGGTGACAGGTCCAAAAATGCTGATACTTCTTCGGCTGGATGTATTTTTACTCATTCTTGTGAAATCCCTGATTTTCAACACTGCACAAAAGAAACTTTTGAAATTTTCCCCACTTCTCTCCCTTGCTTACATACTTCTGTCATGGTCTGAATACATCAGAATAATCATTATGCACAAGCAAATGTTCCAGATAGAATGGGTTTACATCTATGAATATACAGATTGGTCTACTATGTACCAACGAAGTTTGTCATTACTGTCATTACATCTATAGAAATCCCAGCAGCAGGGGAATCCCAAAAGAAATTATTACACCAGATGAAAAGATCCTTTAAAAAAAGGCAAAAACTGTGAAATGAAAACTCTGTTAGTCCAAGTTAGGATAGGGAAAATTTTAGCCCAATTATACATATACTGCAGCCCTTCTAAAAGAACCTACTACCTAGGTGAAATTGAGTTGAAGGCATTGAAAGCATAATGGTTTTGGGGTATTTTTTTTTTCCAAAATAGTCTGAAGTATCTCTTCATTTTTCCCCCCTCCATAGTTTAGAGAAAACCAGCTGCCATACCTCCCTGAAAATCAATGGCTACTGCTGAAAGGAGTTCTCAGCTCAAGAAAACTAATTGGCAGCTCATGCTGGGATATTTAAAATTCCAAGTAGCATGTGATAGCACAAGTTTAAAAACAAGCAGATATTTCCCATAAAACAAATACTGATGATCCTAGATGTTTAAAAGCTCCTAATTTCAAAAGTACTTACATAGATCCAGGGGCTGGAAGACAAGGGATTATTTGGAACCAATGAAGGCAAAGATAGACGGACAGATCTCCCATTATGTTCCTAGTACAGCCCTCAGGAACTTTGCCAATACATGGCGTGAAAGCCTTCGACACCCAAGACACTTGTAGTTACAGGATGCGCTATGACTGTAATTCATCATTAATAGTAAGCTGGAAAAACATACCAATACAGAATAGAGGATAAAAGACCAAGTAAAATATTTTACTTGTTATTGTTGTGAATAATACATTGTTTGAATGTAACATTGGATGGCTTGTGCATTCTTTGTGTATAATCAAGTAAAAGGAAGTTGTATCACTGGGATATTCAAAGCAGAACTATTCCTGCTTTTGAAGTTGTGTGAAAGTAACAGTAACAATTCCTTTACCTGTCTAAACAATGTTGTTTTCTATAACACTAGAATAAGCAAGAATTATACTGTAAGAATATATTGTAAATAAAGCATGTGATGGAAAAAACTGTACTGTAATTCAAGCAGGCTATATACATGATCATAATTTCAAACGCAATTGCTTCACTGCTTACAATTTTAGGCCTATACTTCAGTATGTTAAAAATAAAAATGGACAGATGGGGGTCTGTCTGCAATAGTAGCCTGTAGCAGATGTTTTGCAAAAGGCACATAAGAGGCAAGACCATTAGAAAATAGTTCTTCCCCTGACAAAGCCTCCCAACTTCCAGGAAACAGCAGTTTGGGACTTGTTATGACAATGAGGATATTTGTATCACTGTGTTTTAATAAATCTCAGTGGACATTTTTTTCTATGAATTTGCATGGTGTTTTTTTAAAACCCACTCTTGTTTTTGATATCCAAAACATGACAATGAGCCTCAGATTTTAATTTCCCACAATTCAGTTCTGCATTGTTTGAAAAACTGCTTCTCTTTGCTTGTTGACTCCCCGACAACTTAATCTGGTATCCCTTAATTCTTGCCATAAGATGTAGCTGATAGTCATTCCTTATTTATTCCCTCCATGTCATTCTCAATTTTACAATCCTCTATTATAATCTCTTTTGGTCCTGTCTTTCCAAGTTGAAGAAGTTTTATTTAACCTTTTCTTCTATGGAAGTTGTTTCACACCTTTGATAAATGGAGAAGACTGACGAAAATTATTATTTTTAAATGAACAACTCTGTGTAGAGCTGAAGACATAATGAACTGAATAGGTCTTTTGTCCTTTTCTTTTCCTAAGAATTCCTATCATTGCTTGCCCTTTTGACTGATTCCAAGCACTGAGATAACATTTTCACAGAACTATCCATGAAAATACTAAGAAAATCTTTGATATGAATATATCTGAGGGTGCTGGTTGACAGCAGGCTCAATAGGAGTGAGCAGTGTGCCCTGGCAGCCCAGAGGGCAAACCCCATCCTGGGATGCATCAAACACGGCATAACCAGCCAGTCAAAAGAGGTGATTATCCTGCTGTATTCAGTGTTGGTGCAGCCTCACCTCGAGTACTGTGTGCAGTTCTGGGCCCCACAACTTAAGAAGGATGTGAAGGACCTTGAATGCGTCCAGAGGAGGGCAACAAAGCTGGTGAAAGTGCTGGAAGGCATGTCCTATGAGGAGCGGCTGAGGACTTTGGGTTTGTCTAGTTTGGAGAAAAGGAGGCTGAGGGGCGACCTCATTGCTCTCTACAGCTTCCTGAGGAGGGGACGTGGAGAGGGAGGTGCTGAGCTCTTCTCCCTGGTATCCAGTGATAAGACACATGGGAACGGTTCAGAGCTGCACCAGGGGAGGTTTAGACTGGACGTTAGGAAGAATTTCTTTACCGAGAGGGTGGTCAAACACTGGAACAGGCTTCCTAGAGAGGTGGTCGATGTCCCAAGCCTGTCAGTGTTTAAGAGGCATTTGGATAATGCCCTTAATAACATGTTTTAACTTGGTCAGCCCTGAACTGGTCAGGGCAGTTGGACTAGATGATCGCTGCAGGTCCCTTCCAACTGAAGTAGTCTAGTCTATTCTACTGCAAGATGTTAGTTTTTGCATAGCTACATTAATTTTCATTTACCAAAACTGAATCTTGTTATCATCCAGCCACTAAGTTTCATAACAGCCTCCTGAAAACATTCAAAATAACCTTTTTTACCGAATATCTTTGTATCATTGGCAGGATCTGCCATTTTATAATTCCCTTTTCAGATCACTTCTGAAAATGCTAAAAAAACCATGCAGATTTTCTGTGGATTTCAGTTGTTAAGCTTCTTCAATTGTGAAAATACACCATTTATTCTTTTAATTTGTTGCTGAATCAGATCTTCCTTTTTTGTTTCACAATAGCTTCTTCTAATTCTATGAGTTATTTGGAGGACACTATCCAAAGTTTTTTGAAATCTACATTATTACTGACTGGCTCAACATCCTCATCAGATTAATTAACTCCTTCAAAGAATTAGATTTGTAAGCTGAGACTTCCCTCTACAAGAACTATGTTAACTCTTCCCTTAGCACTGCATATACCTATGTGTCTACTTCTATTAATTTCAATCACTTTATCCAGTGTGGAATTCAATAGTGCATAAGTCCTTCAACCATTTCTGAGAGCCAAAAATATTACTTCTGCATCACAGTCTGTTGTGATGGTGGTGTTGCAGAACACTGAGCACAACGGTGTCCTGAGCCTTACCAGCAGCACTAAAATTAGCTGATACATATCAGAAAAGAACAAACACAGAAAGTTGTAGTACCTTGGGAGATCAAAATGACAGTCATGTACTTCATATTAATCAGACTTTGCAAGAGAATGTGAATTTTAAAAAATGCATTTTTTTTTCCAAATGAGTAATCAAAGTGCCACATGCGTCAATCAATAGCAATCACTTCCTCAACACAATTTTAGTCCATCTACATTTGGAAAAACAGTTCTACATGGCTCAATAACCAGAAGGTGTAAGGTAATCAGAAATAACTCAGAGAGAAACAGAAATTATTTCTGTAGATTTGTTTCATTAGGAAAAATTGAATCAAGAGGACTAAGAATATGCAAATTTTAAAAAATAAAATACCTTAACAAATAAAAAAAGCAAGTGAGGAATGGTTCAGCATGATGAAAATGGTTGTAAAACAGGAAGTAAGAGCAAAATTTAAAAAAAAAAAAAAATCAACAAAAAACCCAACCCAAACCAAAAAACAGAAAAGGAAATCTTACTCTGTGTTTGAGGCAATATTTCCTAATGGTAAAATGGATTTAACTGTAAAAGCAGATAAAACCTGACATTATGCACCATTTAAAAAAATCTCTCGGTCAACTATTTAGCTTGCAGAATTATAAGAGCTGTGAGCTTACTCTTTTGATAGCTCTAGTCGAGGTCCCTGTATGATGGATTTGTCAAGAATCTGTTCTGAAAAGTAGATTTGGAAGGAAGAGTGAACTAAAATGATCATCCAAACTGAACGTCTCTGTAAAGACATAGAAATTTCATGCAGTAATTGCTGTAACACGTTGGCATGAAGAGCAGAGGTATAACTGTCTGGCTACATGTTTTCCCTGGCCCCTGCGCAGCTCATTTACTTTGATATGAAGAGAACACATTTTACCATAAAAGACTAGTTAATATTTGGCAAGTTAACCTTTGTCTCTCAGCCAACTGCCAAAACCTGCAGCAGTGGCTAGCAATGTGATCATTTGTGAAATTAACTGAGTATCAGCATACATTTCACAGGGAACTATCACTGTCTTGACTATTAGCAGTAATTACTTAGTCATTAGATTGTTCATTTCTATCCGGTATAGGCATTCAGAGTCCCCATCGATATACATACCTTACAAAAAGATGACAGCTCATTTTACAGTAATCAGGATAAAATTTACTTTAAATAAATGCTTTTTTCTTTGCTTTGTATGTATTAGTTTCCTCAGACAGTGGAAGTGCACCCTACATATCTAGCCTTGCTTAATAGCACCTGTCACAATAGTTTGGGTTTCCTGCAGTATTTAACATTACAGCCACTGGATCAAGAAAACAAACTCAGGTAGCAGCACAGGCTCCATCTTTAATTCTCTGTAATTTATAAAGACAAAGATGGCATTAGCAGGCCAAGCCTTTAAGCCGCAGCATCTGCTCAGATACAGAAATAAATACGATTTGGGGGACACTTCTTATCCTATTTGTTATTAATACTTAATCCAGTCAGAATTAATAACTATACATTTGTGCAACAGCAACTTCCAGAGTAAGGAACTTACCTATGCATAAAACTATCTTCTTTATGAAGTTCCTAATTTAAAAAAATGAAACATTTTAACGTTCAGTTTCTGATGAAGGCACTATGACAGGTCCTGTAGCAATTGCAACTATGATGCTCTTCCTTTAAAGCTTTCTGATTACCACTGAAAACATTTTCTCTACATTGATCATAAAGAAAAAA